AAATAATAGACTGTTTTGGGAATTCTGAAAACAAAAAAAAAACAAAACTTTTATATAGGGGTAAATCTGAATGATAAATGCTTAAAAAACATTTTGAATTTAAAAGTGTACAAATTTAAATATAAAGTCAAATATATATTTCATTGTTTAAAAAAAAATTTTAAAATTTTGTTTTAAATAAAAAATATTGTAAAATTTATGCCGTTGTTTTGTGGAAAAATTTAATAAAAAAGTAATTTAAAATTTTGTGGGAAATATTTTAATATAAGATGAAAAAGGAAATTATTTTATAAAATATATATATTCTTTGAAAGTTTAAAATTTTAAAAAAATAATTATCTATATATAAAAATTGGTGAAAATTTAATTTGAATTGGGGAAAAAAAAATATTTTTTTTATATTAAATTATTAAATTAAAAAAAGTTTTTATAAATTAAAAGCCAATTTAAAAACATTTTTTAAATGGTTTTTTTTTTTTTTTTATATAACTGAAAGAGAACAAATTTAATGATTAAATTACAAGAAAAAAAAGTTGCAAAAAAAACAACACAATTCAAAATTTTAAAATAAAGTTTTAAATAAAAATAAATTTTTATTAAATAAAATTATAAATAAATAGGGTGTACAAAATTTCTAAAAAATAAAAAAAACTATATAAAATATGAAAATTTATGTATAGAATGAAACAAAAAATTGATAAAATATTTAATAAAATTTTACTTTTTTTACCTTTCTGTAAAGAAATTTAAAATTCAAATGGCACACCATTTTTTAATTTAAAAAAAAAATAAATATATTATTATTTTTAAAATAATTTTTATATAAAATCACAAAATAAATAAACATATTTTTTTATTTATATAAAATTTTAATACTAAAAATATATAATATAAATAAAAAGAATCAAACAAACAATTACAAATTCAAAATTTTTTTTTGCATTATTTTATTATTAAAAACAAATAAATATATATTAAATATATTTAAAAATAAATATAAAATAAATAAGATAAAAAAATTTTTTACGGAAAATTTAAAAAAAAAAAAAAAAAACATAATGCTAATATCTTAAATAAAATATACTTATATTTAAAACCAAAAAAAAAAAACAGACAAAAAAATAAAAATAAAACTGAAAAATAAATAAAATTATTAACTGTAGAACCATTTCTAATTGCCCTCTACAAAATAAATGTTGCACTGAATCATTAGTATACCAATGCAATATCTCTTCGATTGAAAATCCTGAAAACATAAAAATATATATAGGTTGCATTAGCCATGAAGTTCAAAAAAAGATTCAACCAACATCAAAATTTTCATTTAGGATAAATAAATAAAAAAAACAAACATCTCTCAAAATATTTCTGGCATCTAAAAGAATCAAATAAAACACCTACAGTAAAATGGAAGTTAATAAGAAAAGCTAGAATATGTAGGTCATTAAATGACCCATGTCCTTTGTGCATACATGAGAAACTATATATTACTAAGTTTATAAAAAATAAAAATTTACTGAATCAGAGAAATGAAATAGCTATTTTTGCCGTCATTGTCAAAAATTTTCCTTAAATAATATTTATTTAAAATAAAATTTAAAAAAAAAAATATGCGATATATAATATACATACTTATATTTAATATAAAAAATAATTTTATATATATATAAGTAATTCTATTACATTTATAAATTTAAAAAAAAAATATAGTCTATTAAAAATAACAGTGAAAATATTTAAAAATTATTTAATTTTAAATTGTATTTAAAATAATTCTAATCTAAAAACATCTTTTAAAATTGTAAGTTAAATAAAACGTATTCTAACCTAAAACCTCTCTAAAAAATTTTTAAAATTACTTAAATGAATCAATAAAACACCTACTAAAAAATGAAATTAAATGAAAAGAAGAAATAGGCCATTGAATGACCCATGTCCTTTGTACATACATTAAAATTATATATTACTAAGTTTATATATAAAAATAAATAAAAAAATTAAAGTTTATAAATAAGAGGAAATAAATCAAATTAAAATGAATTTTTTTTTAAAATTTGCCATAAATTCTTTTAAATAATATTTAAATATAAAATTTTAAAAATATAATATATATATATATTTGATATGGAAAAATAATTTTACTTACTGTAAGTAATTCTAATATAATTTACTTCTTTAAAAGAAATATAGTCTATTAAAACTAACAATGAAAATATTTTAAAGTTGTATTTAAAATTGTAATTAAATAAAATGAATTCTAACCTAAACTTCTTTAAAATTGTAATTAAATAAAACGTTTTCTAACTTTTTAAAGACCTTTTAAAAAGTACTACGCAATTAAAAGAATCCAATAAAACACCTATAGTAAAATAAAATTAATATGAAATGCTAGAAGATGTAATATTTTTGAATGACCCATGTGTCCTTTGTACTTACATGAGAAAAACAATATATTACTAGGTTTATAAAAAAAAAAAAAAAGTTTACTAAATCAGTGAAATTAATTAGCTATTTTTGCCGTCATTGTCATAAATTTTACTTAAATAATATTTAAATATAAAAAAAAATTGTAACCTAATAATATACATACTTATACTTGATGTGAAAATAATTTTACATACTATAAGGGATTCTAATACATTTAATTGTTCTTAAAAAAAATATAGTATATTAAAATTAAAAATTAAAAATGAAAATATTTCAAATCGTAGTTAAATAAAACGTATTCTAACCTAAACACATAAAAAAATCTTTTTAAATATAAAAAGAAAAAAAAATGCCGTAAGAATTTTTTGCCGTTAACAATATTTTTTTTTAAAAAAAATCCAGACGACATGCATTTAACGGATGTCAGATTTCATTGAAAAAAATACATCCCTACCCCCTACCAAAACGTAACTAATAACTGATACATCAAAATACAGCGATAATGAACACGCAGACACCCCTTGTCTGGTTGAATTGGATTTATCTTTGTAACCTTGGAAACGTGAATTTTAATTTTTAGCTGTGTCTTTAAAACCCAGTAATTTTAAAAGTTACTCCAAAATTCGCTTGAGGATGAAATGGAACTAATGTTGTTTTAATTTAATTACAAAATTAAATTTGGGAATATTTTCCATTTTCCATTTTTCAACATTTTTGAAACATGGTTTTATCATATTTAAAAATATATATTATAAATATATATATATATATATATATATATATATATATATATATATATATATATATATATAATTTGGGTTCCCTCAGAGAAGGAAACTGACTCCGGATGGTCTATAAATTTTAAGCCTAATAAATTTTTTTTTTAAATTTGGCCTTGTGCCACATCTTTATGGGACAGCGGGTAAATAATTATATATATATATATATATATATATATATATATATATATATATATATATATGCTGGCATGAAATCACAAGTCATCGCTCAGCATAGTATAGTTTCAGTGTAAACAACAGTCAGTTCAGCGGGCGTCTCTAAAAGAGATTTGATAAGAAGGACTTGAATGATCTCCAAATTCATCCAAATACTCTTTCTACCTTGTCACAAAAATGGACAAATGAAAAAAAAAGCGAGGTTCATCCATTTTCTTATAATTACTTTAGTGCTACATTTGACAGCAAACTGTTAGATCCTTATCGATATTGACAGCCACGTTTATCGACTGCACATGAGCAGAATCTTTCTACTGTGCCTGAGATTGCACAAGACGTATAACACTGGCAAATCAATCACCGAACTGCCAATCTATCGATTTTTAAGTTCGTATCTATCGATCTATCTAATTATCTATTTTCACTGAATCCAGATAAGAGGGAAAAAACAATTTAAAACAAAAGAAAAAAAAAAAGTTTATAGTCGGTTCGTTGGGATTTTCTGGCAGAAAACAAAACAATTTGATTTCACTAATCAAAATTTCCTTAACGATTATATACCATGACAGATGAATGAAAAAAAAAAAAATAAATAAAAATAGAACTGACTGAAATAAAAAAAAAAACAAAATTATCAAAAGCATATTTTCAGATTTTATTTGTAAATTTATATTGGCCAAAAGTCCTGACTCACTTAGGAAGCGGAAAAAAAACATTAAATCTTTATTTCTGTCTGGTGAATTTCCAAAAGTATTGTTTTTCTAACTTGTTCAACACGGTCACGCCAACAACGCTAAACTGTATTGCAAGCAGATGGACCGGATTCTTACGACACACTAATGAAGGAGTATCCTGCTTTGGTCAATCTAGGTCGGGAACATTAGTTTCAAACAAGACGAGGCCGCAACTCCCAGGTTGATTAAGCAATTATTCACTCCCGAATCTGCTCGTACTGACTATGGCCTATTCCGTTCAATAAACACTTCCTCCGCGACCAGCGATTCAACATTTGATGAAGTGAAGAAAGCTTATTTACAGTTTTTGATTCAAAACCAACGGACTGGTATCTAGGACAGATTCAGATGCTGGTTGATCGCTGCCAGAAGATTTGTCGAGAAGGACGGAATTTAGTTAAAAAAAAATAAATGTTTGTTTTGCGTTATAAAATTTTCTTTTTTTTCACATTCTAAGTTTTCAGGACTTTTTTGGCCAACCTAATATGTCGAGAAAGATAAAGTATTGCATTCTTTAGGTACTATTTCAAGTCTGACTTAAGCGCTATCTTTCTTTCATAGCCCCCAAGATTTTCACTTCTTGTTCTTTATTATGCTTATACAACATCACACAGTAATCATCTACCTTGAGTGGCTCTTATTAGAGGAACATTAGTAAAGAAAGAAAATAACAATGAAACATAAAGCAAAATCCAGATAATTTAAGACATGACAGTTAAAGTGTTAATATACTAGGTTGGAAAAAGAAAGTCCATACCCAAGGGGCGGAATTTTGTTTTAGGATTACTGCATTTCGATTTTATATTAAAAATTTTCGCGCCATCAATATATAAACTGTATTTAAAGAAAGGAAAGAAGAAAGAAAAAAAAAGGAAGGAAAATGCTATATAAAAATGGAGGAGGAAAGAAAGAAATTAAGATTTGAAAAAAGAAAGAAAAAAGAAAAGAAAGAATGAATGAAAGACAGAGGATGTAAAAAAGAAAGAAAGAAAGAAGTAAAAAAGAAAGAACGAATGAAAGAAATAAAAGACGACGTGAAAAGAAAGAAAGAAAGGAAGAAAAAAAGAAAAAAGAAAGGAAAAAAAAGAAAAGAAAGAAAGGAAGAAAAAAGAAAAGTGGAAGGAAAATGGTACGTAAAATTAGAGGAGGAATGAATAAATAAATAAAAAAAGAAATAAGACGTGAAAAAGAAAAGAATAAATGAGTGAAAATAAGAAGAAGATTTTGAAAGAAAGAAAGAAAGAAAGAAAGAAAGATGAAAATGGCATGAAAATGGAGGGAAGGAAGGAATAAAAAAGAAAGAAAAACGTGCAAAATAAATAAATAAATAAAAAGGATAGAAATAAAACGAAAAAAATATAAAAAGGAAGGAAAATGTTATTGAAAACATGGAGGAAGAATGAATCAAGAAAGAATTAGATTTGGAAAATTTTAAATAAAAACTGGATGAAAAATACAGAAAGAAAGAAAAGAGAGTAAAATGCTGAAAGATGATAAAATATGAAGATAAAAGAAAGAAAGAAGAAAAGAAAGAAAGAAAGAAAGAAAGAAAAAAAAAAAAAGATAACGATTTGGAAAAGACCAAGCGAAATAACAAAAGCTCGAGATATCAATTTAAAAAAAAAAACAAACTTAGTAACCATCCGGTTTAATCATGAAAGTCGACTGCTCTCTTCTAAGATCCAGCATTTGATTTAGTGACACAGTTAGCAACCTGGTCATAAATAATTTCCATTTTAGTTTACCTCCCCAATTCTTCTATATAATAAAATGCGAACATCAGTGTGTGTCGCTATAATTTTTTCAACTTTACTCCTAAAGGCCATAACCCAACATACACCATTTGGAAACAGGATAAATGATGAGCAAATTAAAAACTTTCCTGGACGGCAGCATACTCGCAATCCTGTAATTTTCGATTCCCAAGTTTTCATGTTTGTGATTGTTTTCTGATTCCGCCATATCGGTTTCTACTGGTAAAAAAAATTTAAAAGGACACAACTCTCTAACTTTTCAATAGCTCATGTTCAAATGAAAAAAAATACTGTTCTCAAATTACAGTGTTTCAAAATAAATTTGTCCGTGTTTCCAACTTTACTCTTAGAGGCCGTATTCAAACATATACTATCATTTTGGAATCAGGTCGACTCCATGAACAAATTGAAAGATTCCAAACGAGACCCAGACCTGAACCCACAAACTGAAATTTTTAATTCCGAAGTTTTCATTACTGCTGTTTTTTTCGGCGATTTTCCCTGGACAGGTAAAAAAGCGCTTGGGAAGCAATTTTTAAAAGCATATTGTTGCATATCACCAGGACCTTGCTAGAAAAATAACAGGAAACGTCTAGTGTAGTGAAACAGTGTGAAACTTTTGACTTTAGAAAATAGGGAGTCTATAAAAGTCGAACTGGATTCTAAGATCCAACATTTGAGTTAGCGTCACATTTGCAACATGATCATTTCCGTCTTCCGTTTATCATCTTTATTCTCCTATATAATAAATGCGAACGTCAGTGTGTCAAAATTTTTTTCAACTTGAACCCCAGAGGCCGTAGCCCACCATATCATACCAGTTTGGAATCAGACTGACTGCGTGAGAAAATTAAGAACATATTGGCTTCTACTGATAAAAGCAATTTAAAAGGACACAACTCTCTAACTTTCAATAACTCATGTTCACATGAAAAAACTGTAATTTAAAAAAAAAAAAATGTCCGTGTTTCCAATTTTATACCATTTTGGTATCACGTCGACTCCATTAGCAAATTAGAAACATTCCAGGCCAGATCCAGACCCGAACCCACAATCCTGAAATTTTTCATTCCGAAGTTTTCATTACTGCGGTTGTTTTCGGCGATATTTTCCTGGACATGTAAAAGGAAAATGCTTGGGAAGCAATTTTTAAGGAGCATATCGTTGCATATCACCAGGACTGCGTAAAAAACACAACAGCAACACCTAATGTAGTGAAGCTGTGACTCTATATTCGAGCGGTGTCTATAAAAGTCGAACGGGAGAGATAGTTGAAATCCTTGTGTTACAGGCCTGTTTACCCAGTCAGTTTTCGGCATGTTGTTCGGTCCATTTAATACCTATCAGATAGGTTGACATTAGGTTTTAAAAGTTTTATTTCCCAGTTTCAATATATCGACTTGTATACCACTATTTACTGAAATATTCATGAGGTATTTAGCGAGAAAATAAATTCATTACCCACAAGATTTGCAAACTAATCGATGTAATCCCACCGGCAGAGCCTTTCATTTAGACTCAATCGGTTCTGATATCATTAAATCATGCTAATTATTCAGGCATCGCTATCCCAGTTGATCGTCTAGGCTTTGTTTTACCCTGATCGATTTTTTTAATAGTTCAACAGATGTTTGAAATAACATTATAATTTGAGATTATAGATATTATCATGTTTTTAAAGACAAATAAAAAACTATTTTAAAATTTCTTCACAGACATAGTCCTTTTTTTTCATCAGGAAATATTTTATTTAAATTCAAAATCAGAGTTTCAGGAGGTTGAAATTTTTCTGAAATAACCTTTTTCTCAATTGGTATTCTAACCATACAAGTGATATAGACAAATATTCAAACCTCTTTGTGCCCTATTAAGAGGTGGATTTTCACCGTATTTGACCTTTTATTATGAATATAAATAAATTTATGTTATGATGATAATTATTTTATCAGCTTATGTTTAAGTCTTTATTAAAATCCCTCCAATTTTTTTGAATCACATATTTGGACATTAGATGAAGATGGTTTCATCAGTTGCATCTTTACCAGTGGAACAATTGGGTCACAAAATATACAGTTTAATATAAATTTCATTGTTTATATATATATCCATAAGAACCAAAATTGGATAAGAAATCCAGTTGGCCTTTGTTGATGTGCGAAAGGTCGTCAATCCATTGCTGAAAGATTTAATTGTAGAAATAATTTTCTCAAGACTTTTGAACATGTTAAGAATATATGAATTCTGCTTTCCATTTATGATTAGATAATATAGTTTAAAAATCAACAGATATTTAGACTTCAAAATTAATAGAGACATTTAAATAAATTTTAAACTTTTTCTTTTTTAATTAAAAAAGAAAATGACAACAATTTTGTTAAAAAAGAATTATTAAGAAAAAATATTTTTCTTATAGATAAATCTGTGACCATTTATATTTTCAGTTTACAAACAACACACTTTAAAACTTTTGTAATGACTGAAGGATGAGGTTTATGTCAACTGGACATTATCCTATCAGAGCAATAAATTTGGAATAATTCATCTTGAGGAAAATGGAATTTAGAATCAAATATTCTGCCAACTATATGGCCTTTATATAGATGACAAATATCATATAATATAAAACCACAATCAGGAAGATGCATCATTTTTGATGATAGTGATGATTTCAGTAAGACCTTTATTTAGTTAAAAATATGAGAAAGATTTTATAACAAGAAAATCCCATTAATGGATGTTCTTATATATGAAAAGAGCATGGGTCTATATTTGAAATGAGGTAAACCGACATTCACCATTAGAATTATATCAACTCCCACCATCCATATTTATAAAGAAAGGATTTTGGTCATTATAACACTGGAAAATTTCAGGTAAATATAGATTACCCAAAAACTGAACCCTTTAAAGAAGAATGGTTGTACATTCCAGAAGTTCGTAAAAATTGGGATAGGTCTAAATGGATAAGAGGAGGACAACAACCTACAGAAAACAGTTTACTTTTATGTGAAGGGGTTATCAGAGAAATGCAAAGGATCAATGGTCCATATAACATCAGGACAACCTTCAAAAGTTGGACAACACTTCACAGATACCTCTCCCAAGTAAAGACCACCATAGAGGAGAACATGACTAAAGATTGTGTGTCATTGCATCCCATTCAGCTGCAGAAAGAAATATAAAGGGAGACAGGCCACCCCCTTAAGGTAAGGCTTCAAGAACACCAAAAATCTGTAACACGAGGGAAGTGGAAAATCAGGCATGGCTGACCACATATGGAGAGAAAAGGAAATCACCGCCCTCTGTGGGATCTGGTTGAAATCATAGACAAAGAACATCATTGGAAAATTCATAAACTTAAGGAATCAGCACATATTCTAGGCCACAAAATCTCCTGAGCCTGTATAGAAATAGAATACAATATAGGAACCAGTAATAAGGGTGCCAGAGAAAAGTAATAATAAAGCAAAAAATTGCAATGTGAGGTACTGTTAAAAATGGTTGCTGAAGACATTAGGTTTATAATACACAGAAATTCATATACAGTGGATAAATGGGTTAGTTAGGTCCAATGACAGGACCCAAAAGTGTGAGTTCAATACCTGGTTAAAGAACTTGGAGAGGGGGGAATTAAAAGGAGATAACTAACAATTGACATCCATTAAACATGGCATGTGGAACTAGAAGTCTGCCCCAGCAAAATAATGGGTTCAGTTTGACATTCCAGCCACCTGAAGAAGGCCAGAGCATACAACGGCAGAAACATTGTGATAAATATTGCAGCAAAGATGAGGATGTAGTACTGAACAACCTAAATCTCAAAAATATTGACAGATACTAAAAGTATACAAAACAGAATAAAATGTAATTGTCTATTTGCCAATTTTTCTTCTATGAAAAATTAAATAATGTGATGCAGTTCATGATTGGACCTAATTTCAAAGGCCATGAATAATTTTGTGGAGCTGAGAAGGTGTTTATTATAAACTGTCTCAAAAATATATAATGCTAATTTCAAAGGCCAACAATACAGTTTTTTGCAACTGTCTTAAAAAATATATAATGCTAATTTCAAAAGCCAACAATACAGTTTTACTGAATTGAAAGAAAGAGGTTCATGTTTACAAAACCTTAACATCAGAGGCTTTAACAAGACAGAATAGGTCAAAGTGAGTGACCATACTGAAAAGTTAATCCAGTGTTACTGGACAAATTGGGTGAATGATCTACATATGTTTACATAATAAAAATTAATTTTATTTCCTTGATCTACAAAAAAAAAATAGTGTTTGCAAATTTGTATACAAAAAATCAGAATTGTGGAGAGTGATAAGTGCATTTAGTGATTAAGCCATAGATCTAAAAAAACAGATGACTGGGCAGAAATTATTCCAGATTATGCATTGTAGTATAAAAAACAAAAGTTTCAATGCTGTTTTGATGTTTCTTATAAGAACAGAAGAGATTTAATATTGTATTGATGCATATGAGACATCACAACAAAGACAGCCACCATAAAAAACAAAGGACAAACAGAGGTGCAAAGGGGTAATAAAATTTACACAAGCCAAAGGCAAAGTTGGCTTTAGAAATTCACTCAGAACTTGTTGGAACAAAAAAAGCAAACTTTATAATGAGCATCAAACAGGTATTCAGTCTAGTCTTTAATGACTGGTCAAGAGGGCTTTATGTATCTGCCAGGATTTGTTTCATCTAGGATATCCATGTTCATTAACAAAACCAAGGTATTCTAGTCACTGGATTTAAACAAGTCTTTATCCACTGAATTTTGTATCATTGAAATGTTTATCTGTATATATCTCTGATTGGTTCTTTGATTTGTTAT